TAGTAGAATGGGACTGTTAATAGTGCCTGCCTCAGTTTCCTCATCTAGGAAATGGGGTTGTTGGTTATAATGGTGCCTGCCTCATGGAGTTATGAGGATAAATGGGTTAGTTCATGTAAAGTGTTTAAAACAGTACCTGACAGGGTATCAGGGCTTGTAACGTGTTAGCTATCAGTATTTACTGTTATCCTCCCTTGGAAGGGTTGACGATGAAAGAAAGAAGAAAACTAAGTTGGAAGCATCAAGAAAATACCTTTTTTTTTAGAGTGAGCAGAGAGGGAAATAGTAACAGCAACTAATGAACGTCGACTCTGCAGCGTTGCTACAAGCACTCGACAGGGATCTAGTCAGTGCTTCCAGGCGGATATTATTGTTGCTTCTGATGTACAGATGAGGGAATCGGGGCACAGAGAACTTAGCACCTCAAGCAAGGCTGCACAGCTGGCGAGGGGGGCAGCTGGGATTCATACCCAGACAGTCTGGCACCAGCAGCCGCACAGCAACCACTTCATAGTTCAGCTGCTTGATGTGGGGAAGAAGGAGAAGCTTCAGCGGGCAGGAGAAACGGGGCTGGCTGCTGAGCCAGGGTTCAGGTGGGAAGGCATCTGATTTGCAGCAAAAGGGATGCCGTGTCAGGTGCCGGGAATCCTTCTTTCTGATGCAGGAAGGAAGACGCAGACATGTTGGGGCCCAGAGGAGGAAGCGGCTTGCTGTTGGGTGGTTTGGGGAAGTGGGCAGATCGGCTGAGGGTAAGAGGGGGCAGAGTGGATCAAGTGCAAAGACCCTGAGGAGGGAGGGAACAGGTTATCAGGTGGATAGAACAGGTGGATGACCACGGTGGCTGGTGCAGAGTGAGCCGGGGGAGGGCGGGAAATGGATTGAGCCAGTGGGGAGGCCGGCGGGCCATTTTTAGGACTTGGGTTTTCGCTGGGAGTGAGACGGGAGTCACTGATGGATTTTGACCAGAGGATCTGACTTGTGCTTTAAAAGCATCACTGGCAGCCTGTGTGGTGTCACGTGCGTGTAGTATGTATGCACGTGTACAGGCATTTTCAGGGGCAGAAACAGAGGGCTCAGGTAGGACACTCTTGCAACCGTGCAGGTTGGGAGGTGAGCTCTGATGCATATCGGGCATGTGTTCGACTCTGAAGACAGGATGGTGAAGAATTCAGACAAGGTCCTTGCCTTGGCAAAGCTCTCAGTCCAGTGCAAGATATCTCAGCCTCGGCTCTACCGACATTTGGGGCTGTCCTTGCACTGTAGGATGGTCAGCAGTGTCCCTGGCTCTACCCGCTAAGTACCAGCAGCACTCCCCCCCACCCCGCAGATGTGACAACCCAAAATGTCTCCAGAAATTGCCAACTGCCCCCTTGGGGGGCAAAATATCCCCCACTGAGAACCACAGGACAAGTGGGGGAGAGACAAATAGCAAATGAATATGTCATCTTCTGTCCATAGTAGTAATTGCTAGGGAGAAAAGAAGAAAAGCAGGTCCTGAGTTTTCCTCCTCATTTTCATTTTGCTCCTGCGTCTCTCTCATCCTCTCTCCCCACCCACACGGTGGCCATCTGCCTGGTGGGGCGTGGATCACACCCCCTGCCCTTTCCACCAGCCCTTTTTGTTTTCCCTCCCGCCATGTGCCTAATCCTGCCAGTCCCTCCTAGAAAGAAGGAAAAAAACCCACACCGCTCCCAGAGTAGATGTCTTCTCCACGGGAGGGATGAGTCCTGTCTGCCTGGACAGAGTCAGCTCCATGCTCTGAAGGTGAGCCCTTCTGTCACCAAGCCCGAAGTTAGCCTCGGTTCTAACTGGCCAAAAAGGAACAAAACAAAACAAGATATTTAAAACACTTCCCTGCCTCAATCCTGTGCATTTCGCATAACGGTCGAGAGGCCTGCCGCTAGCTGGAGGCAGATAACTGCAAGTGTGCTTATTTTCATAGTCAGCCGAACGGGCTATCTCGGGGATGCAGCATGCTGGGGCACTCCTCCTGCTGCTTGCCTGGCCGCCGGCCAGCGGGGTTGGAGAGCCATTTCAGCGAGGCCAGGCCCCGGCTAGGGGGGTGCCTGGGGAAGGGGGCTGGGGCCAGCCCTGCCTCTCCTTTGAGATCAGCATTATTACTGCGACAGACACTCTCTGCCTAGCTTCCTACAGCTTGACTATGTCCCCCGATTCTCTCCAACTCCTGGGAATATTAACAGAGACACGTTTTAATCTATTTTTATTAGCTCATTGCTTATTAATATCACCAAGGAACCTGCTTGTTTAGACCTGTGTTGGCTTTTCTATCCAGAGAGGTACAATGATTGAATTTTTTTCTTCCCTTTCATTTAAGCCAGGGTTTCCCAACCTTGGCACTACAGACATCTTGCACTGGATAGTTCCTTGCTGTGGGGGGCTGTCCTGTGCACTGTGGGATGTTTTGCAGCATCCCTGGTCTTCACCCAGTAGATGCCAATAGCACCAACCCCCCTGGTTGTGACAAAGCAAAAGTCTCCAGGCATTGTTGAAGGTCCCCTGGTCGGGGGCAGACTCGCCCCTGGTTAAGAACCACTGTTTTCAAGGAATATACAAGCCTGATTTTAGAGATGGCAAAGTGTTCGCCTTGACATCTTGTTGGAGGTTTGTAGGGAGAGGGGAACCTTCTCTGGGCCTCAGTCTGTAATGAGGGGGTTTGAATGAGTCTAATCCAAAAGTCTCCCAGCTCCATTATGCAGTGCTTAAAACCCATCTCAAAAGGGTCAACCTCCTAAAAGAGGACACAGGTCACATAGTTGCTGTTTGTAGATTTTAGCCTCACTGTTTCTGCTGTGTTCATTGTTTCTGTGTTCTGCTTTGTTTTTGTTTCTTTAGAGGCAGGTGAAGGTACAAAGTTTAGGGATATGAAGTCATAACTGCGTTGGAAAAGTGTGATCTCTGGCAGTTGCCAGCTGTGTGACCTTGGGCAGCGCACTTCACCTCTCTGGGCCCAGTTCCAGGTTTCTAACAATACTCCCTACCCCATGGAATCAGTCTCCATAAAGCACTGATTTGATAGTAGCTGCCGGACGACTCAGTGCCGTGGGGCTTTGAGAAGAGCCACTGAATGGGTCTCTAGGTTGAGGCCTGCAACATTCTGTTTTCTTTATTTCCTGCTTCTCTGCCACATTCCATCAAGCCCGGGGGCCCTTAGTAGGCCTGCCCCAGGCTTCCTTTTCAATCTGTGTTCCTCCCAGGGTTCCATCTGCCACCAGACTTTTGTCTCTGTCCCCAGCCGAATTGCCGTTTTCCAGATAACCCCAGACCTACCCGAATGCCAACAGCATTCCTCAAACAGAGTAGAGCTGCCAGAATAAGCCAGCGGCTTCCTGCTCTTTGCCCCAGAAAACATTTCTAGTGATCAAGTGATCAGAGGGAGGAAGGGAGGGAGGGGGAGGATGCTGCAGCTGCTTATGCAACAAGCTTTAATCCCAGGTTTAGATCCACCGGAGCACCAGCGGCACATTTCATTTCCTCATCGGGCCGTGGAGTGAATTGCACGCGAGATCCGCCCCACCAACCCCACAGTCCTGTTTGTTCTCCCCAAAGCAACATCCGTGGAAACAAACAGTATCCATATGGTCTGGGTGCCCACACGGGTGAGGGGGCACAAGCTGGTCAGCTGTAGCCTCTGTCCCTTGTCCCCCATGTGGTCTCCCTGTACAGGTTTCCACCCCTAGGAGAAGCAGGCCCCTCCCTTCTGGTCAGGCCCAGGCCTGTTGTCCCGAGTGCTGGACCTTTGTCTGGCCGGGTGGCCGTGGAGTTGTCCCTCCCTGCATCTTGCCTGGGCAGCCTTAACAACAACTATGAAGCCTGGGCCCTGCCCTTGCAGTGCGGCGTGTTTGGATTCCTGGCTCGGTCCCGAGTCTGTTTGATGTAAGATTCCCAGCCAGGAGGAATTTATGTACACGCAGTGGGCATCTGTTGTCCGTGGGGGAGAGGGGGTTGCAGGGAGGGCAAGCCATCAGCTCCTTGTTTTCTTTGTGGGAACAGTGTGGGACACGAAAGCCCACAAGTCCTAATTTTAGGAGGAGAGGGGAGACTTTATTGCTCCATAGTTTTACCTCCTGGCATATGGCCGCGTCAACTCTGGAAGCTTTCTCCAGCCTCTAAAGAATGGTGTTTATTTAGCGTCTGTTGTTCCAGCTTGCTGTTTTAAGAAATCTCATTAATTAAAGTACCTTGTCGTTTAAAAAAGAAGGAGGAAAGAAAGCAAGCTTGGACATTTTAAGGTCCTTTTCGATTTGCCGTTTCTTTCTCTGTGCACAGACCAAGTACAAAGGCAGCTTTAGGGAGGAAACAGGCAAAGACCTCCTAATACTATGGAAATGGGTAGAATTATAAGCAGCTCTGAACAACTAGTTAATATTTTACTGGGGAGCAGCGCCAGAGATGGGGGCCAGAGGGGAGGGGGTGCCAAGCGTAGGGTTGTGTGTGAAATAGCTGTTCCATCTGCCTTAGGGGACGAAAAGAAGCCGTCCTCTGTGGGAAGAAATGGAAGCAGGAATCCTTGTGAAGCTCATGGGATTTGCCTGCCCACCACGGAGAGCCCGGTTCCCCAAGCACACCCGGGGGGATGACTGTGGCAGGAAGGCTAACCTGTGGGTGTAGGCCTGACTAATAATGGGGCTTCTTGTTTCCTCGCTGAGTTTGCCATGTCTCTCCCTCCCTCCGGATTTCAATGGCTTCTCAGCCCGAGAGGCACTGCCTGTGCCCTGGATTCAGAAGGTACACGCCTCCTTGGGAAGCGAAGGCGAGAGACAGCGGCTCCTCTCTCTCTTTCTGCATCTGCCGGGAGAGCTGCAGCTGGTATTTTTCCACAGGCCTTTTCTGCGATCTCGGGGCCTAGTTTTTTCCCAGCCAGGCCCCGAGTCCGAGAGAGGGTTAACAGGCAGGAAGCTGAAGGCATCGCAGACTAATACGGAAGTCAGATTTTTGTTTAACTGACAGGTTTAGCAGGCCTCGCGGTGGGGGAGGGGCCGGGAAGTTGGTAGATCCAGGCATGTGGCCTGCTAGGAGCGCATTTGGCTTTTCTTAGGGTAAGGACCGAGAGGGGCCCCCCTTGGCATCTTGGCAGGGAGGCAGGAACCCACTTTGGTTTTCCTTTGAGGACTGCCCGAGGGGGGCTAGAGGCTAATGGCTCCCTGGCTCCCTGGCCTGCTTTTCCAGGAGGCATTTTGACAATGACTATGCAAACTTGACCACTCTGCTCCCCTCCTCCCCTCAGCTGCGCGACTCCTCTTTGCTCGGGGAAGCCAGGCTGCTCTCTGCGGCGTTGCTGGGGCCTCCTGCGCTGCCTGGGGAAGCCCAGCTCCTCAGAGGCCTGTCCCAGGCCCTCCTGCTCGCCCCCTTGGCCTCCTCCCTGGGGCTCCCCGCTCCCCAGCTTTCCCTTCCTCTTGGACAGCCACTCTGCTGGCTGTTCTAGAAGAGGGCTAGCCTTCCTCCTTAGAAAGGAGCCGCTTCTGCGGGGGCAGGTCAGGGTGAGCCCTTCAGCCCACCCCAGAAACCCTCTTCCCAGGGGCATCCGGGCCTCAGGCTTTGCTGGAACAGGTCAGGCCGTCTGCACTGGTTTGCCCGTGCCGGGAAATCTAGCCAGGGTGTGGGAGAAGTGCGTGCGGGGGCCCCTTTCCCAAGTTTTTCTTGCTGCAAAAGGCCTAGCTTAGCCTGTCTTTTTCTATGCACAGGATGGCTCTTGCTCACCCGAGCCTCACAAAGATAATCGCTCAGGAAGTGTTTCAGCCAATCCGGGGCGGCTTTACACTCGGATTTGCCGGGGCAGCCAATCGGGGATGAGCTTTTATTAGGCGGCCAGATCATCAGCCGAAGTGCCAAACCCTTTTTCTGTGAGAACTAGGAGCCTGTCCTCCATGTTTTATAAGTATTGACATTACACAGTGTTAACAATGCATCCACAGAGGTAAGCTCGACTTTTTAACCATCTTTTTCCCCCCTCCCTCTGAGACATCCGAATTGTGGGCGAGCAGTGTGATTTCTCTGTGGCTGGCCGTGCCACACTCACCCCCAGAGCACTTATGTTAACTTGGAACTGTTTAGAGAGAATTTTTTTGCTTTCTTGGGTCACATGGCTAAGTAGCCATTAGCCATAGCTTGATTTTGCAAACTGGCAAGGGCCTGGCACACCTTTTCTTCCACCAGGGCATGGTGTTTCTGGAATAGTTTGAAGCTAGATCCTGGTATGCCAAAAAAGAAGCTTTTTTTCTCCCCCTTTCTCCTTTTTTTCCCCCCCTTCCCTCTCTCTTCCTCTCTCTCTCTCTGAGCAGTCCCCCCCTCCCCTGCACTATTGTCTTCTCTTGTGCCACATGCCTGCTGGGGGAAGAAAATGGAAGGTAAGGAGCAGGCAGGCTCCTCTCCAAGGAGAGCTCATGGCAGACAGCAGAGCAGGCAAGTCGGCCTCTCCAGAGAGGTTCTGGGAAGTCTGGACTAAGTTCTGACAAGAGAGGACGTGTGTTTGCAAAAGAACCCAGCCCTCAGCAGAGCAGTGCTAAGGGGAGAGTCTGGCTCCTGGGCCTAGGTGGGTGGTGGTGTCTGTACATGGTCTTTTCTCATCCTACAGGGCTTCTTCACTTGAAACTACATTGTTCAGCCTTTTTCCTGACTTGGGCTGATAACAGAGTGCTCTTCTGCAAGCCAGCCTACAGCCAGCAAATGTTTCTGAAAGTGTTTTCTAGGCTTTGGAGGAAGTTTTTGGAGTAGGGATGGGGATTAAGGGGTGGTGGTGGTGGGGGAGAGATCTTGGACAACATCCTGCAAACAAAAATCTGAGGACTCTTTGAATCCCTTAGCTTTCTACTCTTGCATGATTTCAATGAACTAATGTTATCTTTTATCCTTGTTTTCATTTTCCTACCCCCCTCCCCTTTTTTTTTTACGTTTTATCCTGTGTCCTCCTGTGTGATAGAGTGCAGAGGAAATAAAATCATGGCTGTGGCTCATGACAGCATTCCATAGTCAGTTGTTGGGTTGTGGTGTTGTTGTTGTGTGTGTTTTTAATAATACCATGTAACTGTTTAAAAAAATTTCCTTTTTGATCAAGTCCCAAATCTGCCAGCCTGTTCTCTCTTCCTAACTGTGGAAAAATGAGACGGTTGCTTGAACATTTGTTGGGTAAGTAAAGCAATCCATTTCCTCTGTGACCATGTAGAAAGAGTTTTGCGAACATTTGGGGTCTGTTTGTAATAGGGGGTCTTGGCTACAGCAGTTGGGGGCTTCATTTGCAGGAACAAAATAAGGGCTTTTTAAAAAGTGTCTTGATTTTAGGTGACTGTTTGAATCCACTGTTTTTCCTGATAACCTGCAGCTAGGATTGAAGATTACACTTCCTGTTTACCCTCAGCCAGGGGAGAAATGTTCAGTTCATTGTGACGACTCTGGACCTTTCATGGGGTTTGTTTGGTTATTAGAACTGTGAGTAGGTGATCTGCCTGTGAAATGTAATGAAGCTGCTTGTTCTTAGAGGCACAGAGCCCTAAAAACATCGGTGGGGGAGGAGCTGGTGGTGGTGGTGGTGTCAGTACTTATGTTTTAGGATACTTCACATACAGTGTAAATCTCATCTACCACCAAACTTGGTTTGATTCAGGACTTACCAACAGATCCAGCCTTTTTCCAAGCCTGACCCACACACCTGTATGCACGCTAGCCTTACATATGATTTATTTCTCACTTTTTACATTTCCCCTGATCTCTTAATGCTATAGCTAGAATTTAAAAGTGGAAAAAGTAGACTGTTGTTTAGCATTACCTTCAGAATTTCCCTAGAAGTTCACTACATAAATTTCCAGCTTGGAGACCAATCCGGCATGACTGTAAAAGCTGGAAATATATTCAGTTGCTGTATTATGCCAACTTCGTGGAGTCAGTAATCTTTTTTCTTTTAAAGTAGTGTCCAGCAACCCACCTTTTGACACCACTTGGAAAAAGGCTCGTTTAATCAGGAGAAATGTACCAAAATCTAAGTTGAGAAAAGTCAGTGTAAGGCAGGCCAGCTTCTTACAGTAAAAGTGCAGGCAGTTAATGATGTTATATACTTAAAACTGAACAGTGCCACCACCCCACACAAGTAAGTTCGGACACTCAGCTATTTCTTTGTTCTTATCTCCTTGCTGTAAATGGAAATTATATATTGAGGTTCTTGTGGCCTTCGTAGAAGCAATATCTAATCATAAGACTCCTGGTTTGGTGCCTTCAACGTTTGCATAATACTGTGTTTGTTGGGCTGGAAGGGAACTTAAGGGCAAGGCATTTGTCCTCTAAAAGCTTTCATTAAAATGGCTCCCACAGGTTTGGAAAGCCAAGATCTGTTTTCAAATGTGCAGCACCAGCAAGTTCCCTGCCCTGGACCAAGCTAGCCACTTTTTCTCTGGTACTGTGGCCACCACCGAGCATGGGTCTGTAAAAAGTTAATTGCTTTCAAAGTAGCATTATTGTCCAGTTTCACTAAAGGGGAAAAAAAATAAATGTCTGCATTGCAGCAGGACTAGGTAGGGACAGCAGTCCTGGCTCACAGAGCAGCCCAATGGGGCTCCTCTGTGTAGCTTTTGAACCAATGGACTTGGAGGAAAGGTTAAAGATTGACAACTGCAGTGGCTGGACTGAGAATGGGCCTTCTGGAAATTTCTACCATCTTTGTTCTTTTTAGGAAAAGCAGATCTGCCAAGCTGAAGAGGCTCCTACATTCTGTTCCTAGGGCATCTCCCCTCCCCTCCTTTCTTTTTCTCATCAAGGTAGAATGTTCTCTTCTGCCACGTCTGTAAATTGCACAGGGGGGAACAGAACATGGGGTTGTTTTCCTTTTTCCTCCTGCGGCTTCAGTCCCCAAAGAGGATGCACAGCTGCAAGGAACAAACACAGACACACTGGAGCTTTTGATTCCTCTTTTTTTTTTTTTTCCTTCAAGACCCTCCAGGATGGATTCACTTTCTGCTTTGGGAAATTAAGTGGCGTTCACGTGGGGGAGGGGGAGTAACTGCTTTTATTAGCTCCAGAAAGTGGTCAGTGTTCAGTCTGTAACTAGGAATTAATTATATATAATCACTCCGTAAACTTTCTACAGAGTTTTTCTAATTGCTGAGCATGAACATAGTTAGCCCGTTGGAGCCAAGTCCAGTTACTTTTATAATTAACAGCTCAAAGATTTGAGTCAGAAAGAAAGAAACAATGGGGCCTCTTGGATTATAAATTAAGGATGAAAACAATAGCTTTTTTTCCTTTCTTTCTTGTAACCCCTTTTCTTTTAAACAAAACATTCCCCCTTTTCTTTCCCTGGGAGAAATGGTGGGGAAACTGCATCAGGTCTTAAATAGGGGAGGGGGAAAACACTTGTGGGGTGACAGTCACCTAGAAAACTCTGAAGGCAAAGGTAGGTTTTTAAAAGTCCAACCACTTCCAATATGTGATCTCTTTGTTTCTTTTGCCTTCTTTCCCCTTCTCTCTTCTGTGGCAGAGGCAACAGACATTTGTCAGCCTGGGAACCCTAGATCTAGCTTTGCCTCTAGTTGACCCTGAAAAGAAAGATACATTCAAAAGGGGCCTTCGCCACCCCACAGCAGAGATTTAAAAAGGGAATAATTTTAGAGGCCCTTTGGTTGCTGTTAAAATGCAGAAATGAGTAAGGACTCACCCTTGGCTTCAGGTTGCTAAGACTGTGGTTGCCCTTCCCCCCTCCCCGCTCTCCTTGCAGACAAACAAGCAGGCAGTGGCCACGCCAGCTCCGCAGCCAGTGGGCTGCCACCCCCCACCCTCATCATGATTACCTACCTACGGGCCGGCGCAGGGCCAGTAGCCCGTCCTTGCCCTGGCATGGCCTCGGGCACCGTGCCCTCCTTTCTCCCCTGAAGCTAGAAAGCAGTCACCTTGAAACTCCCCACTCCCAGCACCAGAGGAGTTCTGAGGCCAATTCTCAGACCTGTAACAGTAAATTACATTATCCACTATGAGGCTGTTAGTTCGGCCTCTGAAAGCGGGTTTTGCGAAACCCATTGTTAATTCTCAGGGCTCTGTTGGGAGTGGACAAAAATCTAATTTGTGAGTATCCTGTGCATTGGCTAGGGCAATGTTTTTACTTGTGTTTCTCCTCTGCAGACTCGGATAGTCTTTCCTTGATGTTAACTGTTCTTAGGACTGGCTGCTTCAGAGGGCTGGGTATTTGGTGGCTGTTTTCAGGCTTATAAACAGCCCTTTTATTTTACCTTGGCCTCAGACTGAGGTGCAGCCCTTTAGCTTGGCTTTTCAGATGCCTGCTGTTCTTAAAGCACTTTCGTTTTACCTAGCTCCTTTTTGGTATGGATGCAAAACTGGTTTCTAATAGACTGAGAAGGGGGAACAGGCTTCCTCTCCACCCGCCCCACCACCCCAGCCTGCTCCCTTGGAACATTTTTGTGTTTGCACAGACACCTGTCTGTCTGCATTTTATGCCACGGGGCTGCAGAATTCCTAACCTTCTACCCACCTAATTTGAGGGCATTGGGGCCTCATCACAGAGCCTCATGTTGAAGGCTCAGGATCTGAAAGGGAAGGCTTTTCCTTACGAACCTGTGACTTCACAAACTCTCCTTGTCATTGCAGATTTTTTTTTAAGCTTCTAAACGTTGGGCTGCTGGTATCCCTTGGTTGAGCTTTTCCTAGTTCTGATATTTAGGAAGGTGGCTTTGAAACTAGCAGGGCTGCTTAAACAAGAGCTACAGCTATTGAACAAACTGCTACCATTTTAGCTTCAATACAGGAATGAGGCAGTGTTGCCAGACGCCATTTTAAGAATCCTGCATAAATAGCTTAGCTACCGATGACTCTGCCTGTTTTAGGTGAGTGCTTATATAAAGCTGCTCTGCTAACCATTCCCTCCCCCCCTCCCAAATTTCTTAAAAAATTAATTGCAGATTTAGGGAAGCATGATTTTTTATTTTGATGTTAACTGTTTTGTTATCTGGAAGAGGAAGATGTTATGCCTTGGGGATTAAGTATTTCTTACAGCCTGGACCATTTTGGTATTTTGAATGAAAGTAAAAACCAGGAAAAGTCCTTTCGAATGATGCATGATTCTTGAATTGCTGTGAGATGATCCTCATCTGTAGAACCAGAGTCTTCTGCATGTTGGTTATATATCCTAGATGGGTTTAGATATTCTTCGTTAAAAGTCAGTAGGGGCATGAGGCACTTGGGGAATAGAAATATCTGGGCATTGTGTATCCAGGCATTTTTCTTTCAAAACTAGATACTTTCTCTTTTTCTCTCTGTTTTACAAGTGTTGGGGATGAGATTCCTGGGAATTACGGACCAGCCCTGAGTCCTCAGAATTAATAATCAGAAGGCTTAAAGCATCCTGGAGGTGTAGCAGTTCATCTGCAACTTTTAATTGCTCTTTTTTCAGTGCATGCAGGATAAGAAGTAAGCATAGGCTTTCTTGCTCATGCATTGGGAGAATCTTTATTCGTTTTGGTACTAGACGGGATGGTCTTGGTTGTGTTTGCAGGAACTGTTGTTTCTTCTCTGAATTGCCCGAAATGTGTCAGTTTGTGAAATCCACAGGCAAGTGACTTGGGTAAATGTGAGTGTAAGTGGTGGTGGTGGTGTATACAATGTATATAACTAGTTGATAGTGTATTTTTCTGTTGGGGTGAGAGGCTGTTGTTTGGTTTTCAGCTAATTTTTACCCATTTCTTTAGGGGGGAGGGGAGTCTAGTCTCCTCAACAGACCTTTAAAGAAAAAAAAAAGTAATGTCAGTTTGAAATAAGGGCTTGTTTGTCTGATTGTTTTTGATTTAAATGATCAGGGTTGCTGGAAGCTAGCAGATACGGAAGGAGAGAAGCTGTATATTTTCTAAGACCTTAATGTGTTAATGACAGAAGTTCAAAGTATTTTTTTCCAGATGTAGTTGCCTTTTCTTTTTAAGAATTGTTATTTGACTTGTTTTATCCCCTCCCAAATGACTGAATAGTTCTTAACCTAAATTGCCCAAGATCTGTGGGGCGTTCAGACAGGTACAAACCTATTGTTGCTACCACTTTTGATGTAATATTCATAGTGTTTTTTCCCCCCAATAACGTACTAGTTCTTAACACTAAACCAAAAAAAGAAGAGGGAGGGAGAGAGAGAGAGAGATTAGTGGTGTAGAAAAAAGGAAGTCCCTTTAGATGTGGCTATTCAAAATGACTAATTTTGCATTCTGGTCTTTGCTTTTGTAAACGAAGTTTTTTTTTTTTTCCCTCTTCTTCTAATGCATAGACACTGCAATTTCCTTTAGTCAAATACAAGATGTGTGTGTGTGTGTGTGCACGCGTGTGCGTGCGTGCATGCATGTAGGTGCACGGGTTCCTTTTGAAAGGATGGCTTGCTGATCTGTGAAAAAGATGGTTTTCTTAAATTGTTGTTCTTGAAATCCTGGGCTATAAAGTGGTGGTGCTATTGCTAAAGTTAGGTGATAATGGTGCCCACTTGTAATACTGGGAAAGATAAAACAGCTTAACTTTTTCCTCCCTCTCTCTTCTGCTCCAGAATTATCTTAAACTCAGCAGCAAATAGCCACCACATAACTAGTTTGCATTTTCTTCGCCTCTCAGCATTCCTGCCTGAAGTATTCAGCTCCTCTAGGCTGTTACAAGCCAAATAATTGTTCTCATGAATGCAGCCTTCCCCCAAGATCAATACACCTTTGAATGTTTTCATCGCTGCAGAAATCCTTCAAGTGGGTTTTTTTTGGCTTGGTTATGCATAATTGTTTCCTTCACCACTGTACATTTTGGTTGGATCACAGATTAGCATTTTTCCCTCCACTGAAAATATGGGATTGGTTTCAAAAAGTTTAGGATTTCACATACTTCATGCTAAAGAGGGAAACAGAATTCGAGTTGCTAGAAAGATCAAGGTTGCTATTTGTTCTTTTGAAGTTAACCATCTACCCATCTCTGAGGGCCGCATGGGGCTTTTTTAAAATTTATTTCCAATCACTCCAAGCAAGAACCCATCAACAGCATCCAGTTGGACAACCTGTGTATGTTCCAGGCAGAGTGTGGCGTTCCTGAGTTGAGAATGTTTTCCTCTTAAATTGGAGTAGAAACTATTAGCGCAAAAATCACCTCCAGTAAATCACCATTGTATTATTTCATATAAGTGTATAAATTTAGTAGACTGCTTTCTTCTGATGAAAACCATTTGTGACAACATGTCAGTTGTTTCTTTGGG